GATCTTTATGGGTCTACAATTAATTTGTTGATATTATAAATATTTATATTATTTATATATAAATTATGATAAAAATAATATTATAAAATATTTATTAAACCATAATGAATTATTTGTCTGGGTGACAAGTTCTGATCCTTTTTCGCAGGGATTGCCCCATTCTTTCCCAAGAGCTTTTCTTTGTTTCAAGGTTTGGTGAAGGTAATTCTATATCTTCTGTGTTGCCCTCCTAGACAATAAGGCATATTGGTAACAATGTTAAAATAATTAAAATGTTGCTCCACGAATAAACATTATTATTACCCGGTAAGCTTAAGTTACAGTGACATCATTAACAATGGATAATATTTCTCATTGTTCTCAACAATGTAGTATTATGCTGTTATGTGATTTCAACTGACCAATTATTTATGAGAAATCATTTTATGCACATTTCAAAATGTCAAAAAGTTAATGGAGTAAACTACCATGTTTGATGTATAGTAAAGACAGATTATGTTGGATGATGATAAACATTTTTGTAATTAATGTTTCTAAAACAGGGAATTTGTCAATGAAAATAAGAATGGCATTCTTGCATCTTGTAGGTAATATGTTATGACAAAATAGATCAATTTGTTGTTATTTTGGGGAGTTAAAGAATAAAATGAACATCTGCTATTTGTCCATCTTAAAAACATTGTCCGAATTTTGACATAACTCTCATTCTTCAAAAAGTCTTTGGAATTTTGACATGGCCCTGTTGGAGATGATTCTGAATATTTCTCACCAAGACATGAACACACACTTCCTGAATGTCAGCTGGCCAGTTCGTGGTTGGCCGGTTAAGATAGCCAAAGGTCAGAAGGTGCACGAGGACCCTTAGAGTAGGATTGACACATTTATTGCCCTGGCTTGTCTGGGAGTTTGGGGGGTGGGGGGGGATGGGGGGACATCAGGGTCAGTGTAAACAAGACAGGGATGCACCCATGACATAACCACTAGATTATAGGTTAAATACCATACTAAATGTCAATACAGATGGCAGTGTTTGAAATAGCTGCCTGCCCGCTAGCCAAATGCCAGTGACTTTTAAACTGGGCTAGTAACATTAAGTAAAGCTGGCCTGACTGTCTGGTTTAGTCTGTCTTACAGACCCTGACACAATTATACTGTATATCAAATACAGCCCATGCAAGTCTATAATGATTGGCAAGTCTAGATTACTGCAGTATCTGAAAATGAAGAGTCTCTGGGCTCCTTTTTATAAAAAATTTTAAAGATAATTTAACAACTGCTTTTTTCTGTACGATAGGTTCATTTCAGAGACTAGATGTTAGTCTATGTCTGGTTGAAAACAGTGGTCAGTGAATATCTATTTCTACGAATCATCAAGTCAGTTAAGGTGTCTTTTAATGTCAATGTCTGCTGTCATTTTCTTTTCCTTTCATACTTTGTCAGAAGTGTTTGGGGAGTGTTTGGGCTAGTAAATTATGATGGGGGCTTGCAACATCCTGGCCAGTGTTCTTATGATAAAATTCTAGACTAACATCTAGTCTCTGAAATGAACATATCATACAGAAAAAAACAGTTGTTAAATTATCTTTAAAAATTTTTATAAAAAGGAGCCCAGAGACTCTCTTCATTTTCAGATACTGCAGTAATCTAGACTTGCCAAACATTATAGACTTGCATGGGCTGTATTTGATATATTTGTATCAGGGTCTGTAATACAGACTAATACAAACTCCTACGCTGACTGCTACATATACATATCTATGTATACAAGCTGGTGCTGTGGGATGTACTGCATCTATTCATCTAGACCTCAGCTCAGAGGACGACAAACGACCCAGTTTGGTTTCCAGATGTAGTCCGTATTTCACTGATAACAGGACCAATAAAGAGAAAAAGGTGTTAATGTTTACTGTTTATATTATAGCATCGAATTCAAGTTCATAACACAATTTGAAATACCTCTGAATTTTAGAAAAAAAGAACTTTTAAAAAAATTCCAGTTTGAATAAAAAAAACTATTTTCTTTTAAATTTGCCTGCAAGGGAGGTGCCTCTTAGTTTTGAATCCTAAATAAAAATCTGTCAATAATTCTTTTAAATTTTACAATTTATGTCTCAACGCTCATCTTCTGTGAATGGTTGTTCCCCACCTTGTTGAAATCACAAATATGGTTCCCAGTGACACGAAGAAGTGAGTGAGTATGGTTTTACGCCGCTTTTAGCAATATTCCAGCAATATCACGGCGGGGGACACCAGAAATGGGCTTCACACATTGTACCCATGTCGGGAATCGAACCCGGGTCTGCTGCGTGACGAGCGAACGCTTTAACCACTAGGCTACCCGACCGCCCCTGACACGAAGAAGAAATTATACTGGTACCTTTTAGTTATTGAAATACATATTCATCATTACCCTCTGTCATTCCTATCTGATTGTGACCCGTGAAGATTCCGGGGTAGAATAGGTCTTCAGCAACCCACGCTTGCCGTAAAAGGCGACTAACGGGATCGGGTGGTCAGGCTGGCTGACTTGGTTGATGCATGTCATCGATCCCAATTGCGTGGATCGATGCTCATGATATTAATCACTGGATTGTCTGGTACAGACTCGATAATTTACAGACCGCTGTCATTTAGCTGGAATATTGCTGAGTGTAGCTTTAAACAACAAACCAACCAACCAACCAACTTATCTGATTGTCTTCTTTGAACTCTGTCACCTCATCCTTTACAAGCTCTCTCTGCCCATGTTTTCTGCTCTGTGTCAAGTGGAGCAGCACTACCTTGGGTAGGGAATATATCTGTGTATCTACTGGTTACTTTTGTTATCCCTGCAACATTATATTGCTGAACAATTATTGATTTTTTTCTTTTCATGTTTCTACTTGTAGCTATGGTTGAAACCTGTTTCTAATCTGTATGGACAGACATTCTGTTATGATGCCCCACCCATGTGTGATAACTGGTTATAGCATCTGCAAGTCATCTGTAGGCTATCATCTCCATAGCAACTTGTATTGACCCAGTAGCTGTTAGGCTTGTCTGTCCTCTACAATGTTGTCATTTATGACAGTCACTGGGGCATAGCTGGTTGTGGTGTCCTAAATCACTGTGCAGAGTTATGTCCCTTAGGCATGCCCGCAATCAGTGATCATGGGTTCGAATCCCAGATTTGCGCTGATTATGTTTCTTGGTTTGTCAGCACCATTACCATGCTCATAGACCCGTGAAGATCCGGGGTAGAATAGGTCTTCTGCAACCCGTGCTGGCCGTAAAAGGAGACTATGTTTGTCGTAAGAGGCGACTAACGGGATCGGGTGGTCAGGCTCGCTGACTTCGTTGATGCATGTCATCGTATCCCATATCGAATGATGCTCATGATGTCAATCACTGGATAGTCTGGTCCAGACTTGATTATTTACAGACCGCCATCACATAGCTGGAATATTGCTAAGCGCGGCTTTAAACAACAAACCAACAACCAACCAACCATGCTCACAGGTTTGACCAGAGTTGAAAACATCTCACTTTTGTTAACATCAGACTATTAACAGATAATTCATTTGTTTTGTTCAGTTTGCTTGCCAGGCTTACTTAGTTTGGAATCCATACTGTATTTGCCATGTTAAGTGTCTTGCTTCACTACATGCCCCCTTACCGATCTGTAAGTAATTATGACAGTCCATATTTCTTGTGAATATTATAGATTTACCGTATTCGACGTAATAAGCGCCCTGCTCTAATAAGCTCCCACGGCGATATTTGCTTATATATTGGCAAGTGAACAAGCCCAATTAGCACCCCTTCCGATATATCAATGTACACAAGACTTATTTATTCGTGTATAATACACACTCTGCACCCTTAATTATGGGCAATTAAATTCTGGAAAAATGTATCTGTCGTATATATAAACAGTTCAGACTGTCAGCATAAACCAGGAAATTTATCTTTCAACTCTGTTTTTTCCACTAAAGTAATATTCTAATAAGAGCCCCCTATTTCTAATTTTGAGAGCGCCCTGGGCGCTTATTACGTTGAATACGGTATTACAACCAACAGCAGAGCAGAAGGGTTATGTTATTGCCAAGCGACGATTACTGAATTCCTTTAGCTGTGTGCTCCCTACCGCTCGACCACTGAAAACGAATCGAACTTGTGTATAGTTTTAAAATGGGCACCCCTTTCTCAATTTTCAAAGCGCTATGGTCGCTTATTACAGTGAATATGGTAACTTCCTGATATGTAAATAGCATGTATTATATCATTCTCAACTTTCCTATCAAATCAATTACAAAAAAAGGGAGCAGTGGCGGCTTTGAAGTTATAAAATATGAATTAAAATCACAATGCGTTCATGTTGGAATAAATGTTTAGATAATTAGGATGTTTGCAATTGTCAGTTGAATATGATAATATGAAAACACGAGTCAAATTCAGATCAGAGACCGTCAGTTTCCCAAATTAGGATTACAAATTTCCCAGTTCATTTTACATACTACTCAAAAGAAGTTAAGGACCACCCTTTTCTTCCATATTACTGTAGTTAATATGTCATGCCATGATAAACTATAGTACAATATCGTGAAATAAATGAATCAGATAGTCCTTAACTTCTTTTGAGTAATATATATTTTTAACTAATATTATGGTTTGTAGATATGACTTCTTTTTTTCTCAGATCAATTTAAGAAAAATAATTATTGTTTCCCATTTTGTCTGCCTAGGGCACTTAGTTTGAAATCTTGGATAAATCTTTGTGTTAAATCGATTACATGTTTCAAAGGCCTCTTTGATAATATTTTGTGAATAGTGATATGGTATGGGATATGCTGTAAAATTGAACACAAATAGAAAATGTAGATTGTGAAGTTGTAAACTGAAGTCTTGTATAACATGTCCCATTGATATGGGAGTTCATGATGTACAATTTGATGAGACTGAGACCCTTGATGCGAGACCACTTCGTGACTGTGGTAAACCACAGTCTTCGTCATAACAGTTTGAAAAGGAAATTGTTGGCTAGCATGTGTGGGCTCAAGCAGGTTGCGTAATCCATATCCTTTTGTACGGTCGCTGATGGCACACCTGACATCTTGTGAGCTGTTACCTGCAGGAGTAGATGCTCTGGTAAATCATTTTAAAATTATGTTTCTAAAATCTAAAAAATTGTATCAATAACATGGGTTTGTTTTTGAGTGATGTGTTTTTTCGTATATGGATATGGTAAACAAGTATATATGGTCCGCAAATACAGGTTTTACGCGATGTAGAGATTTGACACAGAAAAAATATAAACTGCATCCTGAAGGATGCACAATAACATTCATTGTACCTACAGTGTATTAATAGCAGTGATGGATGTCTGTTATTTCATCCATCAATCATGACCAATGTCATTGATCATTGATTCGTTCCAGGCTCTGAAGTAATTATCTAAACATACTGTACACTACACCATTTCATGACTTTACAGCCCCCCCACCCCCCAACACACACACACACACACACACACACACACACACACACACACACACACACACACACACACACCACACACATACACCACACACACACACACACAAACACACACACCACAAACACCACACACACCACACACACACACACACACACACACACACCACACACACACACACACACACCACACATACACCACACACACACACCACACACCACACACACACACACACCACACACACACACACACACACACACACCACACACACACACATATTGCCTGCAAGGGCCCTTAAATATATATTTCGTAAGTCCAGGTAAAAATCCCTGTAAATGCTTCACACTTGGGAAAATTTACCCTCATTATGATGGTATGATGGATGATATGTTTCAGGTATTATCGGGTTTGACAGAATTTTGGCCATTTTTGTTTTGTTTTTTTCAAATATTCTGTTTCGTGTTATCAAATTTATTAGAATTTCAAGGTTTCTATCCGTGTTCATTTTTAATGATATTACAGCTACATAACAGTAATTAAACCATTAAAATGATTCACGCTATGGTTGTTGAAGTGGAATCTGAGCCAGAAATTCACTTCACGTGCATTTTAAACAAGTATAACTGACACATCTATAGGTCATTTTGCATAATTATGGAGACATTATATATCAACCATAATGTAGCGGCCATACAATTTCCGAGTCCCGTGATTGGATTCGAACCACAGACCTTCTGATCAGAGGTCAGGGGCGGTCGGGTAGCCTAGTGGTTAAACCGTTCGCTCGTCACGCCGAAGACCCGGGTTCGATTCCCGACATGGGTACAATGTGTGAAGCCCATTTCTGGTGTCCCCCGCCGTGATATTGCTGGAATATTGCTAAAAGCGGCGTAAAACTCACTCACTCACTCACTCACTCACTGATCAGAGGTCGGACGCCTTGTCCATATGACCAAAGAGGTTAACTCCGTCAGCAAGCTGACAAGGTTAGGATGTCATCTGTGGGATGACTCCACGCCCTGCTACAATAACATGGTTTAAGTCGGAGAAATCACTCGATTCTGTTGATTTGAGGCTTGTTCATACTACATCCGGATTGAACAGATGCTCATACTGTCTCCATTACAAACCTACTTCCTGAATCAGCCCCTCACACAAGTACCTCCTGCCTACACTCCACCTCTTTATAATAGTGCATACATATTTCAGTTAGTCACGGCAGCTTGCTTTGAATGTACAGCAGGTAAACAGGATATATGAAAACCTGAATATGAATACCCAATTCGACGTAATAAGCGCCCACGGCGATATTTGCAAATATTTCGGCAAGTGAATAATCCAAATTAGCACCCTTTCCGATTGATCAATGTACACAAGACTTAAATTTAGTTGTGTATAATACGCACTTGTGTGTTATATGCACCCTTAATTATGGGCAATTCAATTCTGGAAAATATACCTGTTGTACATAAACATCTGTCATTAAAACCACGAAATTAACAATCTTTCAACTCTGTTGTTTTTTTACCAAAATAATATTCTAATAAGAGCCCCCTATTTCTAATTTTGACAGTGCCCTGGGCGCTTATTATGTAGAATACAGTAATTAGACCTGTGAAAATCAATCTGTTTCGTTAACACCTTAAGGCTGTTTTATGTTTAAGCCATATTACATTGACGTTTAGTCATTAAGCGTACCAGTGAGTCAAGTATTGGAATACATGTCGTGAAAACCCTAACTTGCTTCCTTGTCATTGACAAATGCATGGTTGGATTGTGGCTACTTGAAAGGCGTACAGGTTTGAGCCCCTGCCGTGGCGAATGCAGCTATTATGTGGATGTAGGTTTGTGTAAACATGTATAGGGTGTTGAATAGAGCGAGGAACTTGTCGCAAAGGCAAACAGTATGCACACCACAAACTTAGTCAAACATGGTGAGGGTCATCTCGTCAGCTTAGTCCAAGAAGAAACAGATTCCAATTTCTCTTTCTACTGGTATGTTAAATGTATGTATTTCATTTGTATTTCAGTAATATTTTTTACATGAGTGAGTGAGTGAGTGAGTGAGGATGGTTTTACGTAGCTTACGACACCAGAAATGGGCTTCACACATTGTTCCCATGTGGGGAATCGAACCTGGGTCTTCAGCGTTACGAGTGAACACTTTAACCACTAGACTATCCAACTGCCCTTTTTTTCCACATGCCATGTATTCTGATGGCAATAAATAAGGGAACGGTTAAAAAATGCTTTATTCCTATATTCTGTTTGAGTATATTTTGAACAGACCTCTTCATGAGGTTCCTGGAATTTGGGAAATCCGAGTATGGGTATGTTCTTTTCAAACGTTCAATTTGCTGTACAGAGTTGTGTCCCTTAGCTGCAAGGTCTACTGGTTTCAAATATTGATAATCTGATTAGAGTCCTTCTGGTAACAGCACCAGTCTGTGACCTTGACTTGTAGGTTTCCCTGTGCCCAGTCGTCAAAGCCGTGACAATTTGCTGGGCCAGAAACCGATGGGCGAGTTCGAATGATAAAATGGCCATCCAAAAACATATAATGTCTGAAAACAATTATAATCCTACGATAAATTCTTGCTTGAATGCATTTTCTGTCATTTTCAAAGTTATATCAAAATATAGGGATCCCTCAGAATATTGACGTTTCCAAACCAGGCCAATTTGGGTTTTGATCCTATGGCCAGCATCCTGATGCAGCTAAGTTAGACAACTCATGGCAACTTGGAGGCGTTCATTGCCTAGTCTGTTTTTATGATTTGAATAATAAATATATGTCCTTATACTCAACGGCCATAGGGATTCCAGGTAAGAATTTCGCCAGCAGCTTATATTGGCCATTAAAAGCAATAGAATGGATCCGGTGGTCAGACTTGGTAGATAATCTGGCGTCGTACCCCAACAGCATTGTCTGTTCCAAACTCGATTACTTAATGGCCAGACCCGTGAAGATTCCGGGGTAGAATAGGTCTTCAGCAACCCATGCTTGCCATACAAGGTGACTATGCTTGTCGTAAAAGGCAACTAACGGGATCGGGTGTTCAGGCTCGCTGACTTGGTTGATGCATGGCATTGATCCCAATTGCGTGGATCGATGCTCATGATATCAATCACTGGATTGTCTGGTCCAGACTCGATTATTTACAGACGGCCGTCATATAGCTAGAATATTGCTGAGTGCGGCGTTAAACAACAAACAAACAACTTAATGGCCAACATTATATAGCTGGGCAATTGCTGAGTGCAGCATTTAAAAAAACAAAACGTTAATGAATGTGTTCCAGGAACTTCTAAATCAAAGACTGAATTTGAGTGAGTGAGTGAGTGAGTATGGTTTTACGCCGCTTTTAGCAATATTCCAGCAATATCACGGCGGGGGACACCAGAAATGGGCTTCACACATTGTACCCATGTCGGGAATCGAACCCGGGTCTTCGGCGTGACGAGCAAACGCTTTAACCACTAGGCTACCCGACCGCCCCGACTGAATTTGAATTAAGACTTATGGTTCGTGCTCAGTGATACTTCACACGGTGAAAGCATCGTCAGGCAGACTTTAAAGGCATTAGATTTAATTATTGATGAACAAGGAAGTATCTATGCTCCATCGGCGTAATGAAAGAGCTTATGAGGAAAGGGAAGGAGCAATATACCGGTTGTGCCTCTCATCTGTAGTCATCTTTCAGTCCTCCATCAGGCCACTCAATGCGAGGAAATGACGCCCATTGTGCACTCTCGCCATCATCGATGATGAAACAGGCAATGCTTTGTGACTGGTTAGGCCACACTTTTTAAATTTTTTGTTTCACATTTTTTTTAGCTTTTTCAAACAAGGTCGTACCCCAACAGCATTGTCTGTTCCAAACTCGATTACTTAATGGCCAGACCCGTGAAGATTCCGGGGTAGAATAGGTCTTCTGCAACCCATACTTGCCGTAAAAGGTGACTATGCTTGTCGTAAGAGGCGACTAACGGGATCGGGTGGTCAGGCTTGCTGACTTGGTTGATGCATGTCATCGATCCCAATTGCGTGGATCGATGCTCATGATATCAATCACTAGCTATGTCAATCATTTATTTATTAATATGAAAGTCATTCTGCCGTGGAGTTAAAACTGCAGCTGGCTTCTTGAATCACTGATGGTGATGTGGACATGGAAATTATGTATAACATTTTATATTGTATAAGATGATCTATATTACTAGTGGGAGACACAATAAAAATATGTTTATGTTTAATAAATTTCTTTTCCAGCTGCTTTTCAGTAGGGGCGGGCCCGTGAAACGAAAAATAAAAAATGTGTGGCCTTCCTTAGGTCACTGTGGAATATGTGATATCCTTTGTAATCAACTCTTCCACATACTGCCGTCATTTCTTCCCTTGAACATATTGCCACTGTCATTACCGTGGGAATTAGATGGTAGATGTCTCTATCTGGGGTACATGTTTGTTGCCGCATGTGATAAGTAGTTCACGCTACTCAAAGCTTGAGGATATCTTTTGTGTGAGAATTTGTTGTTGGGTGAGATTTGTTTTAATGAAGAAAAATTGACTTCGAAGAGATAATGATTGGTACTTCTTTACAAAATGAAAATGTTTTATATTTACTCAAAATTTGAAATCAAGCTTACCCTAAAGAAGCTAGACATTATTAATTTATTTTGTGTGTAGGTCGTCTTACAAAAGTTGTCCAAAAATGAATCACTAAAAATGAAATGAAAAATGATTCACAGTGAGTGAATGAGTGAGTGAATATGATTCTGTGCCACTTTTACCAATATTCCAGCAATATAAAAAATGAATCATGAAAATGACTCACTACGAGTGAGTGAGTGAATATTTTTTTATGCCGCTTCCACGAATATTCCAGCAATATCAGAGATTGACTTCACACATTGTACCAGCTACACCAATGAACACCGACCTGTTTAGCCGATGTTGAAAGTTTCCTGATAATGTTATGACATGTAAGCATTGTTCAAATATTTGGTTTATTTTTTCAGATTCCCACAATGCCTAGCATGTGGAGTCATGATCGTGGCGAGGGATGGGCAGCCTTGCCATCAGACGAAGAGGATAATGAAATGGGACTTGATGAGCTGGCGCGATTCATTGCCGAAAATGACACGGAAGATACCTCTGACTCCCAAAGTTGGCGATCAAAACTCTGTTGCCATTTCAGTATGATGTGTCGATGTGCTGGAGGATTTAAACAGAAATGCAACACTAAAATTTGTGGGATTATTGTTTCTGTGTTTTTGTTGGTCGCTACAACTGGAGTTTGTCTTGGAATTGGAGTTACCAGCATGATTCCATTGCCAGTCATTGACATTTCCATAGAGGCGTTCAACATTCCAAATCACATTGCATATATGCGATACAATTCCTTTGCTCTTGCCTTAAAGCATAATGTGTCCATGCCAAGACGTTCTCGTAGAGATACGTCCAGCGTGTTAACTGGCGCTGGTGTGAGACATGATATTGATGCAGGAATTCAAGACTTCAAGAGTTTTGAACATGAGGAAAGATTACAGTACAGACCATTTGAAGGACTAAGAAACGAAGTCGAAACCATTGCCGCCAAAATGGTAAATGAAGTTGACGAAAAGTCCAGGTCCAAACGCAGTGCCCATACTGGATGTATATTTGGAAACCAGGTGTATCCTCGTTGGAAGATGCAGGTCATATTCCTAGCTCAGGGAGATGAAAATCATAATATGTTTACCAAGGAGCGGATAGAGACTGTCCACAAAGTGGAAAAAATGGTTTTGGCACATCCCCAATTTAAGGATTTCTGTTTTAAAGATTATAAGCTTGGTGAGATCGACCCTGCGGTCAGAGCACAGAGCAATTGTGCCCCTCTCAACTCGTTACTGACGTACTTCTACCCCACGAAGGACGTGCATGGCAGTATTCATTATGATGGCCTTGGAGACAACTTAGATCAAGTCGACAGTGCTTTGAAACTAGCTATGAATCAAGAAACATTTTATTATTACGTGGATGAGAAAATTAACAGTACTTATCATCACAGCAAGTTGTTGCGGACCGAGGTCGTGTTCGGAGCTCCTCTTGAAGGTAATTACGATCATTTATTCTATAGGAATTGTATCATTTAGTAAATAACAAATTTCAAAAAAGAAATGATTGGCTATGTAAGGATGATACTCATACGAAGACTAGTTTTCGGATGATAATTTTGATATTTGATTTAGACCTTGCCAAAAGTTAACAGTCAGCTGCAAGATTAGAATACTTCTCAATCTCCACTTAAACAACCACAAGCCTCTGGGATTTATTTAATTATTTATTTAGTGAGTAAGTGAGTGGCTATTGCTTTTTGGAGAGTCAGTAATTTTGTAGCTATTTTCAGATAGTATTACAATATTGTTCTTTTGTATTCTAGTATTGTCATGTTGTATCATTAAATTGTCAAATTGTTTTATCACATTGTCGTATTGTAGTTTTGGACAAAGGGGACTGTATCATAAGCATATGTTTATGAATCATTTTAAATTTTCACATTGTTGCATGTTTGGAAGCAGTGTCAGATAATACTGTCAGTAGGCAACTGCTCGAAGATGTCCAACCATTCTAGTGTAGCAAACAAACAATAAAGGGAGTGCGATATACTTTTACACAGAAGTAAAAATCCTTATTTCACCAAGTTTGGTTTAAATTATTTTCTGTTAAGTAGGTTGTAAAGTCAAGATGACCTTCATTCGTATGTTGTGAATCTGTGGATTAGTTTTTAGGAAAGTAGGTCACAGTTGGAGAGTTACAGTTATTTCGATGACCTGCATTCGTATGTTGTGAATCTGTGGATTAGTTTTTAGGAAAGTAGGTTACAGTTGGAGACTTACAGTTATTTCTCCAAGTTTGGTTTAAATTAATTTCTTAAGTAGGTTGTAAAGTCAAGATGACCTTCATCCGTATGTTGTGAATCTCTGGATTAGTTTTTAGGAAAGTAGGTTACAGTTGTGAGGAGAATATCATCTCTACGATTGCATGCTGTCTCATTGTTCCACAAGCGGTAACCCGGACCATCTTACCAGAACTCATTTTTCATTCTGCGATCAATAGAGCATGATGTAACGACAGGAGGCTCAAAGACTCTCAGTGAGGCTGTTGATAGGCTAATGGTTATATGATGGGAATGCTTGATCCCAACTCAAGCCAGTGCCAGTTCAAAGTAAAACAACACCGCTATCAATCCACAAATAAAAATATGTAAGGCCGCAGTCTTTTCAAGACTTTGTTTTCCATTAGACTGCAATAAATTGTTTTTGTCATTATTTTTCTATTCCTTTGAATTATCCGTGCAGGTTACTGTATTGGGTCGACTCGAGGGGCACAAGAAAAGATGTTTAAGGAATTTATCATCACGTATATCGACATACTGTCCAAGGCGTCCACCGAGTAAGTGAACTTGTTACACTCTTTATCTGCTTATAATTATTTCTTGGTTTAAAGGTATTTAGCTCAACTGACTGAAAGTCAAGTGAGCATATTTTCTGGTGCATTGTCTGTCGTTTTTTCCAGTTGTTAATCCATCGTTGACGTTTACATTTTTAACATCTACTCTAAAACTACAAAGTCTATGAAAATGAAACTTCCCATGATTGATCCCATCTATGGCAATCTCATTAAAATCAGATCTTTGTTCTCGCTATCGCTAAACAAAGATCTGAGGACATCCCATTTCGGGTCACGTCAGAACGACCTTTCATCCAACCAGTGAAAGCGCAGCTTACCAGATCATGAAAGTGACAGTCGGAATGTGTTTTCTAATCATGCAACCTCGAAAACGTCAACACAGGGTATTCCTAGCGACATTTACGGCCCGGACAACTGATTCCGTCAAAATTATCGTCTATCTCACGCTTCCGTGGGATGAACATTTGAACGGAGGAGGCGTTTCACAATACGTGGGAAGCACTGCCATACAATCTCAACCATATATTAGACATTCCGGAATGTTCGTTTGTTCAGTTTTCAAAATTTTAATCGAGAACTGTGTCAACATATTTTTCAAGTGTAGTCTGAAATGGAAGTCACCAGGTTGAAACTAGTGCCGTAAAGCTCGAGAAAGCTGCTTTCTAATTGGCTGATGTCAACACTCTTGTTATTCATTTCAGTGGTCGGTTAAAGTTCGCAAAAGTTCGTTCTGACATGTCCCATAATGGGATGTCCTCAGATCTTTGTTTAGCTGCAGCGAGAACTTAGATCTGATTTGATTTAAAACCCCTCACAGCATTCTAATTTAAATTGGCACATATAGAAAATGTCATTTTTGCCCATTACTTCGCCATTTCTACATGTATCATTATTAAACTGTATGTGGTATAACGTACTAAACATATTTTGGCATGTTTGATTTTTCATGAAGCTGTGAAATATGACCTGCACATGCATAAGTGTTACTGCAATTTCGTCATCTCATCAGATACTTTGTTTGTTTGTTGTTTCACGCACACTCAGAAAAATTCCAGCTTTATGACAGCGGTCAGTAAATAATCGTATCAACCAGACAATCCAGTGATTGATATTATGAGCATGGATCCTTGCAATTGGGATACGATGACATACATGAACCAAGTCAGCTATCCTGTTCTCGTTGCCTCTTACGACAAGCATGCGTTGCTGAAGACCAATTCATGGGTCTCATCGGATACTACAAGGCCTTTCACTCTAAAAATAGTCATGAATTCTCCTAGCCTTGTGCCTTAAAATTCTAATCCTACTTCTTTATTTTTCCAGTCAGCTGCTTTGGTGGAATGATCGATAATTAAAGTTTTGATTATTGGAGAGTTATCTCCCTTTCTTTATGGACAAACAAGCGACGCTTTACAAGCAATTTTATTATTTACACCTTTTTGGGTTGGTGAGGGTGGGATGGTTTTCAACGGTTACGTTTACCGTCAACAAATGACTGCTTTTAAGATTTCATTTTCTTCCACTTGCCATTTTGGATTGATCTCAAAACCAATAAAAATAATATGGCCTAACCAAAAGGATGATATTTAGATTTGTACCCAGTTGAATTAAATCCATGCCCAATTTGTCTGACATTGATATGTAGTCTTCTCCTCAAATATCAAGCGATGTTGCTAAACGCCAATCTGTTGGACATTTGCCAGTTTTGTTGAGAGAAATGCCATCAATTGCAGAGAGCATGTGAAATAGACTCGCTCTGGACCGCAAGCACCTGTTGTTTTACAGGATCAGAATATTGAAGCAGGCTTTATGGGAATTTCTTTGTTCATCTGACAAGGGAATAGCTGACCGTGATCTGGCTCTGTTCATTTATACCTCAACATCAATAGTAATAGCTCTGGTAGTTGGTAGTTAGCACCATTATAGGTCACATGAACTCATAAAGGTTTGTGCTTAGTCATAGCTCATGATATATTGTCCACTTACATTTTCTGAAATCATAAGAGTAAAACTTTTAATGGATTATCCCAGTTAAAAGTCCGAACCCAATATGTATCTTGAAACTAAGGTCATGAAATCAGCATCACTTTAACGATTTCTAAAACGAGTTAAATGACAAGGATGACAAATGCTTAAGAAAGTGGAACCTTGCTTGTATGATTCCAGCAGTAGCTTTTAAACATTTTAAAATGATTTTTATCTGATTCAGAAATGGCCACAGTGGCGGCCATTTTGAATTTTTTGTAAATATTCATTTGCTGCCATGGTGACATATTGCATTAGTATTGCCAACTGCAGCATTAGCCCATCAACAAACAGTTTCATAGGTCATTATTAAATTAAAACGATTTGGAGTACTGATCAGAAAAAAAATCAATTATGTCATTTTTTTCTACATTCTGCAAACAAGGCGGATTCAGTTGTGATGGTAGCAAATCACATCATCCATTGTATGATAGTATTCCAGACATGTGATGCATCTCACAGCTGTTTGAGTAATGATGGGAATCAAAGGCTGCAGAATTATAGGTCGGCTTGATACCATTGATCAGCTGATAATAAAATCGAAAGGGGTAAATACTGTCAAACAGAATAACTTTGTTGCACGCCCTAAAATTATTGGCTGTTGACTTGTCGTGATGGTTACATGAGGTAATATATGTTATCACCTTTCACTGAGTCATGTTGTCCCACAAGGTCAGTGTGACACTTTGTTGTAAGTCTGACATTGTGTAATTTATGAACTGTGTTGAAAGAACTGTTATTACACCCTACCCTGCTAACAGTTGTTATTCAAGGAAGTTGACAGTTACAATGTGTCTGTGGATGTAGACCTGTTAGGGCATGGTACATGGTAGGCAGATGAGTTGATGGTTCTGACTCCGCTCATTCACTCGTATTGCTGTGTCTAGATTAAGGAAGGACATTTTAATACATTCCTAGTGCCTGAGAAATAAGACATTCAAAGAAATTTTGTTTTTGACCATGATATACATTCATTATTTTCAATCACTTATTGTGAATTATTCAGTCTGACTAACATGGAGCTTATTGTTGATCAATACAAAGTGAATTATGAAATATATTTTACATCTGAATAATTTATAGCTGAATCCACTTTAATACTCAACAACCAGTACCAGACATCTACCGTATATGACAGCGGATAAGCCGACCCCCTAGATAAGCCGAGGTGTTAACTTGACCATTGAAATACAAAAGAAAATGATATGACCCGCAGATAAGCCGAACCAAGAAGTGAAAAAAACACTGCGAAGTCGGACTGCAAGACATGTGCCGGTCCTCGCAGATATTCAATAATATAAGATGAAAAACGTTGTAATTATATTGAAAAAGTCATCATTATGTCTAATAAAGATTTAACAAACCAGTCATCCACTTTCATAATGTGGGAATCTGTTTCTCTTGTCTTTTTTTAATCTCATTATGATCGTTTTTTGTTGCCATCAACAACGAAGCGCCATTTTGTGAATCGGTGTATATAGAATTATGAACCCGTGAGAAAATATACCAACAAATAAAAACACATCTTTTTTTCGTTTTGAACTCATGATGAGAATGCCAATACTCCAACTTTTATACACGTATGCAGTAACTCACCAATTTGCTTCAATTGGTAAGGTTTTGTCTCAGTTTCATGACTGTAATTAAGTACCTGTACTTTTTCAGGTTAATTGTTACTGAGTAGTTTGTGGTTGGTGGTAGAAAGAAAGCCTCGATAGTGACGGTTTCAATGAAGCTGTCAGTGACAATTTGGTGTTTTGTTCGGTACATTTGATACTACTGCACTCATGGAAAAGAGACAGTGACTAGAGTGAGGTAACAAGCTTAGCAAACACCTCAACGGGTGGTCTATCTCAAGTGTTAGCAGAAAGTTTAGTAGGTGACATGTACTTTCTAACAAGTGTCATTGACTGATTCGACTGACTGGAGCCAAGTCACTGTCAGCAAGGTAGTACAGATGTCCTATTAACCATAAGAAGCCCTCTGATCCAATAAGTGCTCCCTGATCGACTTCCTGACCAATCTCTCCTGTGCAGATCAGGGTTAGAATTTGGTCTTCAGCAACTACAGGATCGGGTGGTCCGACTCGCAGAGTTGGTTGATGCATGTCATTGTAACTCAGTCACGTCGATTGATGCTCATGATGTCAATCACTAGATTGTCTGGTCCAGATTTAGTTATTTACAGACCGCCGTCATATAGCGGGAATATTGCTGAGTGTGGTATCAAACAACAAACAAACAAACAAATTCTCTCTTTTTTTGTGTTTAACCAAACTTTTTATTTTTTTATTTCTGGAGCAGGAGGTCGGTGGGGTAGCTTAGTGATTGAAACAATCGTCACCGAAAAGTCACGATTCCCAACATGTGTACAATGTGTGAAGCCTATTTCTGGTGTCCCTCGTGATGATATTAAAACCAACTCACTCACTCAGGTCAAGAAAAGTCTCTGGTACAATGGGACTAAAGCAGGGATTAGGTTGTGAAAATGGTTCCGCAGTTTCAGTGACCATATACGTTTCGGGGCTGGTATCAAATACAAGCTGCATGACTAGCAAAAAACAAGTATAAGATTTCTGGGTCGGACTTTATCCCCTGTAGGGGTGCTAGTAGTCAGGAGTCTTGTTCCATCATGTGTGTACTTGTGTGCAGAGGTCAAGGGGTCATCGTCCGTCATAGTCTGCTTGTTGTAATAAGGGTCACATGAGAAACTGGCACGTTGTCTGTGTGTCGCAGTCGTTGAGTTCTGGATGGTTGCACTTAAATTGCTACCATTACTGGACATTTCAATTCAATGAACTGAAATAAGAAGCTCCAATTTTTGTACTATCAAGGCCGTAGTTAACTTTTTTTGACAGGGGAGGCAAATATTTGTACAAGTATCACTTGTCCCCAACTTGATTCAAATAAAACTGTTTTCTATACAAAAATCTAGGGGGCAACCGGCCCCCCCCCCTGCCCCCCGGCTTGCTATGGCACTGACTATTGCTATCACATCGCTGGAATATTGCAGTATTAAACAACAAAACAGCAGTTAGTGTGTAAGGTTTTACGCCGCTTTTAGCAATATTCCAGCAATATCACGGCAGGGACACCAGAAATGGGCTTCACACATTGTACCCATGTCGGGAATCGAATCCGGGTCTTTGGTGTGATGAGCGAACGCTTTAACCACTAGGCTACCCGACTGCCCAAACAAAACAACAGAGCCTTGTGGCTCTACTTAATCTAATAGGCTGGGTCAGTATGGTTTAAGAAGAGACTTACATCAAAACATGTCTTAAGGGTAGGGAATAATACAGTCTAACATCAGTATATGTGTTGGGGGCACGGGTGGCCCAGTCGTCTAAGGCGCCGCGATTCGCTGTACAGAGTTGCGTCCCTTGAAACCTTTGATTGTGGGTTCGAATCCCGGTTCGCCCCAATTATGTTTCTAGGTTTGTCAACACCATACCCGTGCTCGTGGGTTTCACCGAAGTGGTAAACGTCTGATACCTGCATCACTTTGGGCTTTCCTCCCACATTAAGCTGACACGCCGTGATATAACTGGAATACTGTTAAAAGCGGCATTAAACACAACTCACTCACTCACTCACTCACTCACTCACTCACTCAGTATATGTGTAGACAATAACCATTGTACAGCATTCAGCAGGGACTTCGTTCTGGAGTTGTCAGAAAGTTGTTGCGACATTTTATGAATGAGAAATATCTAGTTATGTATCATAGTGTAGACCTCAACAACCTGCAGCACAGGTCATTTCAGACATAAAAGTCTGGATAAGTCTGAATGAAAAATGTCTGTATCACCAATAGCAGTTGCAAGGCATGTAGCATGGATGCCTTCCATTATTGTTGTCAGAAAGTTATTGATACATTTTCTGAATAAGAAATATCTATTTATGTGTGCTAGTTGTACTATGCAGCAGACGTCGTTGTAGTCTGTCTCCCAGACCACAGAGAATATATTACAAAATCCCACTCAAGCCGAGAAAAACAATTTGGCAAGTCTAGATTAAGTCTGGAATTAAGCACTGTTTTGGGCTCCATTTGCATTTTATTTTTTATTTGGTAGATTTGTGTTTTTAAATATAAAGGGTAATTATATTTCTGGGGCTAAATGTTAGTCTAAGATCATTTCAAAGTCTTGAGATATGTCGGATTGAAAAGTTTTCATTTGCCTGTAACCAGGTGTGTCATGGGTTAGAAACTGTTTGTTACGTCAACAATATTCTTAATAGTGCTATTCCCTAGGGGGGAACCAGCATCAGTTAATAACAAAACTCCCATTGCTCTGCGCCACGTGTAGGGCAGGTCTTGAAAATATTAGCATACACGCCTTGACCTGACAAGTTATGTCACTGCTCTTCCTGGTGTGCCGAGAATGTCTGACATTTGATGAATAGGGTCATCGGGTCGGACACCGATCACCTGCTGAACTTTGACCTTTGACATCAGTGTTTTTTAGGTCATTGACAGCAAAACAGTCACTCCCTTGTCAACTTCCTTAGATGTTCACACTAGTTTCCTCCGAAATGGCATGCCATGTCTTCCAAAATAGATCTTTGTGGTACTCCTTTAAGAAGTCACAACTAGGAAGTATGTCTTTAAAGTTGCACCCAGTACAAAAAGTTGAGCAAATTTAAAAAAGGAAAGAAAATCGTTTCTTTTGTCACCTTGTATTTCAGTGTTTAAGGTCATCTTATTCAGCCTGGGGTTATTTAGAAATGTTCCTTTACGTGTTGAATCTATCATTTAAGACAGAAACAAGTATCCAGTAATGTGTTGATAAAAACTCATGGTTATCCCAAACACAACCTATTACATCCTGTTTACATAGAAATAGAGGATAGAGGATGGTTACAAGTAGGATCCCCTACAAAATCCCCCAAAAATATTGTTTTGGAATGTTTGGCCCTAATTAAGTTGATATTTCCTTTCTGATAAGAAATCACTATGTTCGGACAATCCATTTCAGATCCTCTTCTCTCAATCAGTAAGATTTGATTCAAGAAAGATATCCCCATTTATACTAAACATGAGGCATCACTTGTACTGCATATTTATTTCCTGTTGGTTAGTGGTCAAGCTGGTGGTCAAGCTGGGAAACCAATTTATGCCTTGTCCTTCAAAACATATTACCGAAAGATCCCGAATTCACAAATATACAGACTGAGGTGAATACAAGGATTTCCAGTCACATAGACACACTCCAACACATGTTTCAGTACCTGTTAAGATCCGGGTTAGTATTTGTCATCAGAAACCCATGTTTGTTGTAAAAGACGACTAAAGGGATCGGGTGGCCATGCTCGCTGACTTGGTTGATGCATGTCATAGTATCCCAATATGCTCATGATGTCCATCACTGGATTGTCTGGTCCAGGCTTGATTATTTACAAACCGTCGTCATATAGCTGAAATATTGCTGAGTACGGCATTTAGCAACAAACAAATTTTCTTTATAAACATTTTTTTTCAGTTATGTGGGAATTGAGGACTTGAAATTTCATTTTATTTTAATCCTACCCCTTAGATATACAATTGAGAAAACTTAAAAAATTTAAAAGTCTGATATGTAACATACGAATATGTTTCTCATTGTTTAACAATAACCATGTCGAAGTCAGGTGTATAAATCTTACCGGATCACCACCCTGGCTCCTATGTTAGTGTTAGAGTCAATGAGGCGTGACCATATGCATGAGTATTGATGAACATTTTGACACACTGTGGGATTAAGGTAGATATCCCACATAAGTAACTGAATGAGAGGCTTGGGTGATAAGAGATATGGCCAGTGTTTGCTCTCAACACGAGATACTTTGACAAGGACTATAATTTTTTCTTAATCGGCCATATATTCCTAGCTACTGTTCGCGCGTTGTTCCCCTGGGAACGCTGCATCCGTGTCAGTGTGGCTGTCACTGACTGACTTGTCGGTGTAGAAAATCAATATAAGACCCTACTATTTTATTTTCTGTTTCAGATATTTTCAAACAAATTTGTTTGGGCAGGTTGTTTGGTTTAGAAATGGATGGCAAATAATATTAATGTATTCTAGATGTAACTATTTAGCCATGGTTTGATTAAAAATTATTATCATTATTATAATTTTTTAATAATTGATTTGATTCATCAGAGTTCTGAGATTGGCTATTTCTGTTCTACTTCATTGTGTTAAGTAGTCTCTTATGCTGGCCTTAAGAGTTACCAGCCAGGTTCAATTTCACTAGGTTGAACAAGCAACAGAAAATTATGTCCCATGCATTGGTGACAGAAAATTCGAGAAAAGTATATGTTTTCTTTGTTTGTTAACGCCGCACTCAGCAATATTCCAGCTATGTGACGGCGGTCTGTAAATAATCGAGTCTGGACCAGACAGTCCAGTGATTGACGTCATGAGCATCGATCCATGTAATTGGGATACGATGACATGCATCGGCCAAGTCAGCGAGCCTGACCACCCGATCCCGTTAGCCGCCTCTTACAACAAGCATAGTTGCCTTTTTCGGCAAGCATGGGTTGTTGAAGACCTATTCTAACCCAGATCTTCATGGGTCTACAGTTAATTTGTTGATATCATAAGCCTGATCACCTGACTCACTCATCCAAAATATGTCTTAAATATCCTGATTTCTCTCCTCAACAGTAAAGTCCAGGTGCTGTATGGGGGCAATGAGCTGTTCGACTACGAGGTGGACATGACGTTCTGGAGCGACATCAAGATGGCGTACTACACGCTGGGCTTCATCATCCTGCTCATGTTCATCCTGACCTCCTTCTCCATCTGGCTCACCTTCTGGGGGATGCTCAGCATCTGCCTCAGCTTCCCCCTCGCCCTCTTCTTCTACAGACGCATCTTCCACATCGACGCACTCGGCATCCTCAATGGAGCAGCAGCCTTCGTCATCATTGGTATCGGTAAGTAAGGACAGAATCATGTCAGAACACCAGGGCAGGTCCCTAGTACACCATGCTTGTCTCCCTGTGGAGATTCCAGAAAGAATAGATCCCCAGTACCCCTTGCTTGTCTCCCTGTGGAGATTCCAGGAAGAATAGATCCCCAGTACACCTTGCTTGTCTCCCTGTGGAGATTCCAGGAAGAATAGATCCCCAGTACTCCTTGCTTGTCTCCCTGTGGGGATTCCAGGAAGAATAGATCCCCAGTACACCTTGCTTGTCTCCCTGTGGGGATTCCAGGAAGAATAGATCCCCAGTACCCCTTGCTTGTCTCCCTGTGGGGATTCCAGGAAGAATAGATCCCCAGTACACCTTGCTTGTCTCCCTGTGGGGATTCCAGGAAGAATAGATCCCCAGTACACCTTGCTTGTCTCCCTGTGGGGATTCAAGGAAGAATAGATCCCCAGTACACCTTGCTTGTCTCCCTGTGGGGATTCCAGGACAGAATAGATCCCCAGTACCCCTTGCTTGTCTCCCTGTGGGGATTCCAGGAAGAATAGATCCCCAGTACCCCTTGCTTGTCTCCCTGTGGGGATTCCAGGACAGAATAGATCCCCAGTACCCCTTGCTTGTCTCCCTGTGGGGATTCCAGGAAGAATAGATCCCCAGTACACCTTGCTTGTCTCCCTGTGGGGATTCCAGGACAGAATAGATCCCCAGTACCCCTTGCTTGTCTCCCTGTGATGAGTCCAGGACAGACTACATCCCCTGTACCCTGTGCTTGTCTCCCTGTGGGGATTCCAGGACAGAATAGATCCCCAGTACCCTGTGCTTGTCTCCCTGTGGGGATTCCAGGAAGAATAGATCCCCAGTACCACGTGCTTGTCTCCCTGTGGGGATTCCAGGAAGAATAGATCCCCAGTACCCCGTGCTTGTCTCCCTGTGGGGATTCCAGGAAGAATAGATCCCCAGTACCCTGTGCTTGTCTCCCTGTGGGGATTCCAGGAAGAATAGATCCCCAGTACCCTGTGCTTGTCTCCCTGTGGAGATTCCAGGAAGAATAGATCCCCAGTACCCCGTGCTTGTCTCCCTGTGGAGATTCCAGGAAGAATAGATCCCCAGTACCCCGTGCTTGTCTCCCTGTGGGGATTCCAGGAAGAATATGTCCCCAGTACCCCGTGCTTGTCTCCCTGTGATGAGTCCAGGACAGACTACATCCCCTGTACCCCAGGCTTTTCATAAAGTCACAACTAGTAATGTTTTGGGTGACTTGCTCATACATCCACCACTGGTTTGCCAAGCCATCTTTAAAAATAAAGCTGTATCCGTATATGATCTCTGGACGTTTTTATGTTACCTTAGTGACTATTGCATGTGACTATTTTCCTGTTGCAGGAGTGGACGATGTGTTCGTGTTCGTGAACATATTTCGGCAGGCCAGTCATTTCAAGGTTAACTCGGATCGGATATTGTACACTGTCAAGACGGCAGGGAAGGCAACGTTCTTCACATCCGCGACAACCGCAGCAGCGTTTGCAGCCAACATTGCATCCTCAGTGAGTCCCTGGTGACGCTTGAACAGCTCTCAACCACAACTCTTTTGCCTTTACATAATGTATCTTTATCAGCGTTAATTAACAAGGTTGAAAGTATTTATAGTTGTGTGGAAGCTAGTACATCTCTTGTTTCTGGTTGTTAGGAAATTAGAACTTTGTCAGGCATATTCCACAGATCTGCATAATTCATGACCAGTTTGTTTTCTTTCTGTTTTTTTGGGAAGATAAGATATAATTGTGTGTAATGTATGTCCCCATGGGGATTCCATCCAGGTTAGAATAGGTCCCCAGCAACCTATGCTTGTCTCCCTGTAGGGATTCCAGGTTAGAATAGGTCCCCAGAAACCTATGCTTGTCTCCCTGTGGGGATTCCGGGTTTGAATAGGTCCCCAGCAACCTATGCTAGTCGCAAGAGGCGACCAAATGGATCTGGTGGTCAGGCTTAATGACTTGGTTGATTGCATGTCATTGTACACCAATAGCATGGATCCTTGCTTGTATTATTATACTGGTTTGTCTGGTCCTGACTGGATAATTAACAGGCTACCATCACATAGCTGGAATACTGCTGTGTTAACAACAAACAAGGAAACACAATTATTTATTGGTAACTATTTATCCAAATATGATTCACAAAACCTCTGTCTGGTCCAGACTTTTTAAAGATTATTTTAAAGATTTTAAAGATTATTTAAAGGCATGTAGCTGGGCCCCGTTCCACGAAGCCATCTTAGCGCTAAGGTGATCGTAATTCACATACTTTAACACTGGCTTACGATAGTCATAGCGCTAAGATCGCTTTGTGGAACGGGTCCCTGGAATACAGCTGGGTTCAGACAACAAACAGACTGAGATTAACTCTGATGTCTTGTTTCCAGATCCCGGCCGTGTACGAGTTTGGGTTGTTCATGTCCCTGATTGTCAGCTCCTGCTGGGCGACCGTCATCCTCATCATGCCCCCGGCTCTGTACCTCTGGGTCATCTGCTTCTCCAAGTGTGAGAGGCTCACTTCCTCACTGTAAGTAACACCCGATGTTCCAGTGAGAGGCTCACGTTCTCGCTGTAAGTAACACTCAACGTTCCAGTGAGAGGCTCACGTTCTCACTGTAAGTAACACTCAATGTTCCAGTGAGAGGCTCACGTTCTCGCTGTAAGTAACACTCAACGTTCCAGTGAGAGGCTCGCGTTCTCACTGTAAGTAACACTCAACGTTCCAGTGAGAGGCTCACGTTCTCACTGTAAGTAACACTCAACGTTCCAATGAGAGGCTCACGTTTTCACTGTAAGTAACACTCAACGTTCCAGTGAGAGGCTCACGATCTCACTGTAAGTAACACTCAACGTTCCAGTGAGAGGCTCACGCTCTCACTGTAAGTAACACTCAACGTTCCAGTGAGAGGCTCACGTTTTCACTGTAAGTAACACTCAACGTTCCAATGAGAGGCTCACGTTCTCACTGTAAGTAACACTCAACGTTCCATTGAGAGGCTCACGCTCTCACTGTAAGTAACACTCAACGTTCCAGTGAGAGGCTCACATTCTCACTGTAAGTTACACTCGTGTTTTGGGTGTATAGGTACAGCTAACCAGCTTTCATGACAGAGAGATTAGTGATGTCATTTGATTGTGATGTCATGCTAATCTCATCTTATCTCAATGGTCTGCAAAGCATTGTGATGCAATTTTATTGAAGCTGTATCACCTAGGTGTTATTGCTTGATCTCACCCAAGAGATTTATCCTGTTGAAGCCAGTTTCTGATAATAAAACTCTTTCTCTGACGTTGTTGCAGGTGCCGTTGTAGACAGAGAAGGCGTGTGGTCAACCCCCTCGACGCCCAGCAACTGCAGCAGGCACCCAACCCCACCGTCCTCAACCCCGGCCTCGACGATGACGTTCCCATGCTGCACATCGACAATGCTGTTGTGCCAGGTATGTGCAGCTGCAAGTGGTCACATGGTCCTGTGCACAATGCACCGGTCACAAATCAGGCAAAGTTTAGAGTAGGTCGCGGAGAGCCATTGGATGAGTGACCGCGTTTCGGCAGCTTGGCTCCTGAGAGTTTCTAGGGCTTCGGTCATGCCCCACACTGAAGCACATGTACCACATGTGGTGTCTCCTTGGGCAAGTGACTTTGTTCGAAATGTGCCTCTGTTAATCCAGCAGTGAATGGGTACCCGGTAGGATTAGATGGCAATGTGGCTGTTAACCTTCTAGCGCCTCACAGGCAGTTTGGGTTGTATACTCCCTAGGGAGCTGAGAATGATAGTTAAGTGCACTCTGATACAGTGACCGGGGTAAGAATAGTGTAGCGCTTTGAGCATGCCCCTGTGGTGTGCATGTAGTACAGTATAAATAGGCCTATTATTATTACACGGGAAAACCCAGTGGGGTGACTTTGCGGGATAACCTCCACTTCCAGTGGAGGGAAGTGGTTAAAGCATTCGCCCGTCACGCCGAAGACCTGGGTTCGATTCCCGACATGGGTACATTGTGTGAAGACCATTTCAGGTGTCCCCCGCCGTGATATTGCTGGAATATTGCTAAAAGTGGCGTCAAACCATACTCACTCACTCACTCCAGTGGAGGGATTAATAATTCACAGATCAGCAGGATACAATTATTAATGAGTCAGTGAGTTGGGTTTAACGCCGCTTTTAACAATATTCCAGTTATATCACGGCGTGTCAGCTTAATGTGGGAGGAAAGCCCGAAGTGATGCAGGTCTCAGACGTTTACCACTTCGGTGAAACCCACGGGCACGTGTATGGTGCTGACAAACCTAGAAACATAATTGGGGCGAACCGGGATTCGAACCCACAATCATAGGTTTCCTGCGTGCCCAAGGGACGCAACTCTGCACAGCGAATCGCGGCACCTTAGACGACTGGGCCACCCGTGCTCCCCAGTTACTAATGACTGCCACAATGTAGCTTGCTGAAAGTTATTTCAAAATATTATAAGCTGATGCTAATGTAGGTTGGAGAGCAGGAGACTCCATTCAGGTGTAGTCACTAAGCTTGATGAAGGACCACCTCTCCATGTGTTTCAAACACTGGGAGCTCTCAATGCATACCCTCAAGCTCCCATTTGGTAGCCATGGATACAGGGGAGCTGTCAACGTGAGAGAAAAATTACTTCCTCGTTTCCACCGTTTTGACAATCAATTTCAAAGGGAAACATTTTTGAATGAATTTCAGTGTAGAATTTAGGTTCAATGATACAATAATAATGAAACTTGTATATTTTTAACCGACATACCGAAACACCGAAAGTATTGCAATATGTATCATTTGATAAGCATATTTCAGTTTACGTGTAATACCGAACAGCCCTACAAGCTTGACCCGTGAAGATTCCGGGGAAGAATAGGTCTTCAGCAACCCATGCTTGCTGTAAAAGGGCGACTATGCTTGTCATAAGAGGCGACTAATGGGATCGGGTGGTCAGGCTCGCTGACTTGGTTGATGCATGGCATCGATCCCAATTGCGTGGATCGATGCTCATGATATCAATCACTGGATTGTCTGGTCCAGACTCGATTATTTACAGACCGCCGTCATATAGCTGGAATATTGCTGAGTGCGGCGTTAAACAACAAACCAACCAGCCAACCAAATCCTTCAAGCTCACTGTATTGAGACATAGACATGTGCATTCCAGCGCCAATGAACACTATAGCTGACGACGATGGAGATGTCCCCATGTTGATCCCTGACCCCTACAACATCGGCAACGAGTCAGCGGCATCGGCGGCAGACTCCAGCGACACCTTCTACATTGGGAAGGCCCTCCAGATTCTTATTGGGAAGTATTTGGCCAAGGTCATACTGAAGGGGAGATACGTCATCATCGGTGAGTTGAAGGTCATTGTTAAACAACGAACATGGATGTAACGACTACCAATTATAACTATATATTTCCAATACGGGTACAGTTAGTGTGTTTGGATCCCAAACTTGGGTTGTTGCTTCTCAATAAATGACTTGGTTAGGCTCAGTAAAGTTGAGTCCAACAGGCCTCAAAGTTGCGACTGAAACGGTCGCCAATGCGACCTAAATTTGAGTTTGTCTACTGTCTAAAATTCAGAGGTATTATTACAATATCTTGTGGCGACTAAATTCTATTGCTACACACCTGTGGACACACACAAAAATAACAGCTAACTGCTAATAATTGTACTCACAAATAATTCCTCCTAAAGTTGACAATGAACCGAAATACATAAATATTAGTGTAATTAGTACTTTATTTTAGTTGACAATGCTCAATGGATAAGCAAGGATATACCTATAATATCTTGTAACATAAATTGTATCATTGTTTGAGTGACAAGTAAGAAAACTCAAGTACAGTTTCCACTAAAATACTATTCCAAGACTAGTGCTATAACTTGTACATATTAATAGTTATTTGATAAAAGATAATTTCAAATGCTTTTGGCTACCTACAATATTGGCTTGACATCTTGATTTTACCACTGGCTACCTGGAAAAAAATATTTGTAGCCATATGGCTACTTGGTAAAAATTTAAACTTTGAAGCCTGGTCTACTGTCACCTACTCAACGATGATCAGGACGACACCTTTGACTAAAGATGACTATTAGTAATGACATTAATCATTTAACTTCATAATGTCATGGGTAACTGTTGATAACGACATTAACTACTCGTCATCGTGATACCACTACAACTAGCAACTGTATCTTGGACCCTGAAAGTTTTTGTCCTTAGCAAATGGGGAGTAGTATACCTATCATAACACCAGTGTCAAACACAATATGAAAATAAAATTTATTGTATTTAGCCGAATACTTTATAGGGATTATGAAATTGTGTGTGCAGTCTTCACTACAAAAACATTATCCTAGAAAATATTAAAAATCCCAAACATTTTTTGGTTAGTACATATGTAACTGAAAAGTACAAAACAATCTGCACTTTAAACAATATTAGCATTTTTTTTCCTTCAAACAGACTACGCCAAACAACTTGCAACAGCTGCACAAATGTACTTAAACCTCCTGGGCTACGAACATGATGTGAAATAATGCAACATAATGACACACCCTTGTGGTATAAGTCTCCGTATCTCCATCATGTGTTATTCCTCATCTTCCAGGTGCGTTCACAGTGATGCTCATTGGCTCTGTGTGTCTGATGGTACAGCTGCGGCCAGCGACACACCCGCCACAGCTGTTCCGTCCCGAGACCAACCTACAACAGCTGCTGGACCTGAAGGCCAACTTCAGCATGCTGGAGTCGCTCAGCTGCTACAAGTGTTCCGCGCTTTACAATGTACGAACAAACTCATACTGTTCAACGTTTCATAGGGATATTGTAATCATTATTATTATTATCATCATCTTCCCTGTCATCGTCATAATCTTCCCGATTATCATTAATATTGATATTATTATTCTGAACAAAAAATTATGGGCCCTTATTATTTTTGTTCAGTATATTTGTAATATTATCAGCATCTCTATTGTTATTATTATTATTATTATTAATATTATTATTTTATTATTATTTTTTTTATTAAAGAATTAATCCCAGTAGCCTGTGCTTGTTGTAGGAAACTGTTGTAATTGATCTGGTGGTCAGGCTTAGTGACTTGAGACATATACTGCTCAGTATTGGTCAGGGATATTTAATTTTCTTCAAACCCTGTGTTGATTCTGGGACAAAATAGGGAAGCACTTTTGACTTAAATGGTCACCACGAATAGCTGCAAGATTGCTGGTGATGTGTTAAGCAGTCACTCAACTTAAATGGATTGGGAGTCAGGCTCTGAGATTTGCCTGTTTGCTTGACATTGTATCTTGGTGGATTATTTGGATGTAATGTGAAATTTGATTTTTCAGGTAAAGCCAACCAAAGCAGTCCAACCGACAACCCGCCCCCCAGCCCAACCCCCCAAGTTCCCTGACACCCCCATGCATATCGGGCATGCCACCCTCAGACCGAGAGCTACAACCTTCCCCCCCCCAACAAAAGGTATAAAAACGTCAACAACATCAACTAAACCAACTACAACTACAACTACAACAACAACAACAACAACGACTACTACACTTAGGCCAGCTTACCATCCACACATTCAACCACACCATCCTTACAGTGGTGAGTGTCTTCGACAGCTGTATAAACCTCCAGTGATATCGACCTATTGTTCTCCAGAAGGGTTAAATTCTCATAAACAGGGATGTTATTATATCCCGGGGATTTTATATAATATCCTGGGGATTTTATTTATACAACTTCCGTTTAAATTGTAACATATGAATGTTTCTCGCTAGAATTTTTTTTTTTATATTATAACACAATGTTATGAAATGTAAAATCAAATGACAAATGTTGTCTTTATATTCTCAAGGATTGAACATGCAACCTTCGTATCTCACAAGGCGAGTCTAGTACTGGAGATTTCACCACTTGTTTTAATCATTTTAGACCAACGCTTAATCTCTGAAAATATATAATTTTGATTGAAACAAATAACTCTGTTTATAATGAAAAGGAGCCTCAGTGAGATTGGAGATTCAGAACCTGAGAAAAATCTAGACTTGCTTCATTTAGGGATGTTTCATTACAAAGGGAAAAAAATATGGTTCCGGGACTGTGAAACAGACAACAATCATGTAACAAGTCAATGTAATTTGATTGGATAGCTATTATTAGCATCATGTCTTTTGAACCTGTACTCAAAACGACGCTATAGTTTATTACAAGTATAGAGAAGTAGTACCCTGCATAAATAAGGGTGAGCCATCTACTTTTGAAAAGGGGTCATGGGTCTCGAGATGTTTGTTCTGCTATTAAATACTAAATATGGTTAGGCTAAAAAATACTAATATTGGTTCTCAGGCACCACCTGCATCATCATAAAGTCGCACGTTTCGTTTTTATTTCCATTTTTTTTTCAAATTAAAAACTACCTAATGCTTAATTACAAAGAGATCCAATATCGTACGCAGTTACTTCCCTTTACATGCACATTTCTTTACTGTACATACTATTTTGAAAATGAAAAAAAACAATTCAAAAGTCATTGCCTGAGAACCAAATCTTTCATTTTTTTTTAAGCCTTTATAATTAGCATGTTGAAACAAATTAACAAATACGATATGTGTAAGTGTACATATTAATAAAGAAAAAATTGACACATAGGAGTCATGAACTGGATTGCTATTAATAGTAGCTTGCCCTTTACCATTTTGGCTTGCTACAGGCCGAAGCACCAGCAGTAATGGTGTGAGAGGGATTATGAATGTTTTAGACATTTTGGAAGAATAGTCCAGGGGGCGAGGTATCCAGAGGCTGGAGTGACCATGTTTCCCTGTAATTAGGTAGTTATTATCACACATTTGTGTTTGCAGACCGCTCCACGACGACGGTCAAGCCCGGGTCTGTGTCCGAGAACTTCAATGCCTGCGGTGGGAACAAGTGCAACGACCTGAAAGAACGGCCCAATATCCGCACAGGGACCAAAGTCTATGTGGTGTTCGGGATTAAAGGACTGGATCGGAGCAATGTGCAGAAAGGCCATGTGTTGAGTGAATACTCGGTGAGTTGCTGTGGTCTTTTCACTCAGTGAGTCAGTGAGTGAGTGAGTGGGTGGTCGGGCGGGCGGGGTGCAGGCAGGCAGGTGGGTGGAAGAGTAGCTTCGGTCTTGTCACTGAGTGGATAGATGGGTGAGTAGCTTCGGTCTTGTCACTGAGTGGGGAGTGACAAGTGAGAGAGTACCTTCGATCATGTCACTGAATGGATAGATGGGTGAGTAGCTTTGGTCTTGTCACTGAGTGGGGAGTGACGAGTGAGAGAGTAGCTTTGGTCTTGTCATTGAGTGGATAGATGGGTGAGTGTTTCAATCTTGTCACTGAGTGGGGAGTGACGAGTGAGAGAGTAGCTACGGTCTTGTCACTGAGTGGATAGATGGGTGAGTAGCTTCGGTCTTGTCACTGAGTGAGGGAGTGACAAGTGAGAGAGTAGCTTCAGTCTTGTAACTGCTTGGGTAAGTGAAATCACTGGATGGATGGGTGGGTGGCAAATGAATGAGTTTGGGTTGGGATGTGCGTGAGTCAGTGAATGTTACATTTCGCAACAGTCTGCAATATTACAGCCGTATCCCGCAGTCTATTGACAGTCACATCTGGGCTTGCACCAACTGGTGGCTAATAGCCTGAGTAATGATCCATATGTTCAGTGTAGTCCATCTTACGGAGGCAAGGGAGTTCACTGACTATAAACTCCAGTTTCCACCCATGCCGAACTTGGCTGGAATTTCCAGACTCGATCGGAGCACCACCAGTGGCTATTGCGAGTTATGTCCCTTGTATGTCCCTCCTATTGACCAATCAATTTTTTTCTAAAAAAGTAAGAGATGACGTCATTGCATTGAACATGATGTTGAAAGAATTAAAACCAACTAATTTTCAAACATTGTTTTATTGTTGAATGTTGGGACTAACAAAAATTAGTGGGGACTGGTAATATTTAGAGTTGCGTACTGCGGACCTTAGATATAAACACGAGGTACTGGGGTCGTCTTATTCCCAGAATCGTCACAAACTAATTCTTTAGAACTCAACCAAATGAATTTGAGAAAAAATGTGACGTTAGAATCAACAGTTGGTGTATTTCTCCTTTCAGGGTCGTACAACGTTCGACCTTGGGTTCAGCCAGAAGTCGATGACCCTCCCTGTCCTGAAGGAGCTGTGTTCGGTGTGCAAGATGATCGCAGCCAACACAGAGCTCGTGAAGAAAGGCAGCGCCCACTGCCTCCCTCCAGGTAACTATGGCAACTGATTGTAGCACCAACATGGTGTTGAGTTTGTATTTAGTCTGGCACTGTCAACACTTTCACTGACTGCTTCTCTTAGTTCCAAAAGGATAGGGGCGGTCAAGTAGCCTGCCTAATGGTTAAAGCATTTGCTCGTCACACCAAAGACCCGGGTTCGATCCCCGACATGGGTACAATGTGTGAAGCCCATTTCTGGTGTCCCCAGCATATTGCTGGAATATTGCTAAAAACAGTGTAAAATGGCATAAAACCATACTCAATCACTCACCCCAAAAGGATAACTTCTATGAACATCTATAAACTGTGCACAGACTACCAGGAAAAGAAAGTATTCACTTCGAAATTTGATTTGACGAAAATAATTAAATGGACATGTTACTAGGGTGAAAACAGTCCCCGAAACACTGCAAGCTTGAGATCCAAAACACTACCATGAGGTGAGGTGAAATGGGGTTTAACGTCGTGTCCAAGATTATTGCACTTATGTAGCCACGTGCATGTACGTGTGTGTGTTTGTGTGGCTGCTTGTACTAGTCCCGACTGATGCCGATTTATAGTGCTAGCTCACTGAGATACCATGCCGCAGTTTAAAATGAATACCCCACTCAGACACACTATACTGACTCCGAGCCGACCAGTCCTTGTTTTAGCCCCTTAATGCCGAGCGCCAGACAGGGTAACATCAAGTACCATCTTTTAACGTCTTTTGGTATGACGCGGCCTGGGATCGAACCCCGGACCTTCCGCTCTCTGGGCGGACGCTCTACCACCAGACCACGGAGGCGGTCTCAGCTCTATGATACCCGTATCAAATACATCACCATCGAATAACTATTTCTTGTTTGTACCGTTTTTGGCCATCATGAAACATGAGTAGTCACTTTCATTTGACCGGCACTTTATTTGCCTTAAGTCGTGTGTCACTTTGATCTTTCCTCACTCATGTAGCTGACCTGGCATGATATTACGCATATACCGTATTCGACATAATAAGCGCCCAGGGCGCTATCAAAATTAGAAATATGGGGCTCTTATTAGAATATTATTTTGGTGAAAAACAACAAGTCGAAAGATCGTAAATTTTGTGGTTTATGCTGACAGCCTAAAAATGTTTATATACGACTGATATATTTTTCCAGAATTTAATTTCCCATAATTAAGAATGCTAATAACACACGTATTATACACGAATAAATAAGTCTTGTGTACATTGATCAATCGGAAGGGGTGCTAATTGGGATTGTTCACTAGCCAATATATTAGCAAATATCGCCGTGGGCGCTTATTAGAGCGGGGCGCTTATTACGTCGAATACGGTACTAATAATAATAATGTTGCGGACATATGTATTGCACACCACACATAGCACAACATAAACTTCAACAATAACATTGTGTTGGACAGTCATACCACAGTCTTACATCGTGATGCTACACATGGTTCCTGAGTGTAAGGATCTGCCCAAGTCAAGCTCCATCAGCAAGTTCCAAGCCCCAATCCAAGCTGTAGGAGGCATGACGCCCAACAACACCCTGCTCTGGCTGGCCTTCGCGTTTGAATCTGTAAGTAGTCAACTGTTTTCATCGATTCTATCACCATTAGTTTAATGTCCCTGATCATTTGTTTTTGGAATTACAATACTATACTATACAAGTTTGATAATTGATTTGAGCTTTGACGTCATGTGACTTCAATAGACCAATCAGCATTAAGAATTGCTAGAATGTACTTGTGAAAATATTGGGAAGTTATTATACACGCTCATTCTCCTTGTGGGTAATATGTATTGGAGAAAACAGGCTCACGAGGTTTTGGTAGACAGAGTATGCCCTGAGGAGGGAAAAACCAAGGGGGCGAAGCCCCCGCGGATTTTCCCGACCCCCAGGGCATGCTCTGTCTACCAAATCTGAGGGAAAGTGTTTTTCCATGCTTATAAACCGAAAAAAGAAACTTAAAACAACATTTATGAACATTTTTATGTTTCGAACATACTTTCCATGAACCTTAGGAAACGCTCGTAAAATATCTGTTGCTGGCGTATGGATCTTGAAAAGGACATTCTAAAAACCAGTGAGGCTTATCAACACCTCTGTAGCCTTGTGGTACACTCACTGGGCTACAGATATGAAGGTTGTGAGTTCGATCCTCGGGAATATAAAGAAAACATTTGTCATTTGATTTTACATTTCATTACATGTTACAATCCGAACGGAAGTTATATTATATAAAATCCCAGGGACATTACAACGTCCCTGTTAAGGAGATTTAACCCGACTGGAAAGTAAAACCTCACAATAGGTTTTAATGCCTATGGAAAGAAGTCTCTTACTTCATAGCGATCCCAATGAATAGGTTTATAATTAGAGGATAAAGCACGACTCTGCGGTTATGGTCGAAATAGTAAGACCGAGGCAAGAGGGTATCGGCCGAGGAGTGAAGCTCGTTGACCATACGTTTTGACCATAACCAAGGAGGAGTGATATATCTCACTTATGAACCATCAAAATGCAAGAAATACCAAAAGAAAATAACAAAACATCGAGATACCTTATAGCAAAGCAATACAGTATGACGCCGTAAAAGTAAAACCTCATACCAGGTCTTAATAGGAAAAAGTAAAACCTTGTACCAGGTCTTACTAGGAAAAAGTAAAATCTCATACCAGGTCTTACTAGGAAAAAGTAAAACCTTGTACCAGGTCTTACTAGGAAAAAGTAAAACCTCATACCAGGTCTTACTAGGAAAAAGTAAAACCTTGTACCAGGCCTTACTAGGAAAAAGTAAAACCTCATACCAGGTCTTACTAGGAAAAAGTAAAACCTTGTACCAGGTCTTACTAGGAAAAAGTAAAACCTCATACCAGGTCTTACTAGGAAAAAGTAAAACCTCATTCCCGGGATAAGGTCTTACAAAGAGAAAGTAAAATCTCCCAAGAGGTTATTACGAGATAGGAAGATACCTACAACACAATAGATAAGAGTGGCAGTACAACTTCGTGTCTGAGTATTCTGTACGAGACTCTGTTTGTCCCTCCTGCAGACAACTTCGTGTCTGAGTATTCTGTACAAGGCTCTGTTTGTCCCTCCTGCAGACAACGTCCAAGGGCATGTCCTACTTCACAGCCTACAAGCAGTACCAGAAGTGGGAGGCGTTCATGAAGCACATCAAGGAGACGAAGCTCAGTCCGGACTCACCACTCAAGGACATGTTCCAGGCCTCCGAGTTCTGGAAGAAGGTCGGTACACTCTTCTGGAATCTCTGGGGTGGGAGGATGCAGTCCTTATCTTGTTTCCGTCTAGGTGACGCCTGTCGTCTAAGGGGATGCAATTTCCTGTGCAGATATATCTTTTATTTCTTGAGTCTCTTTAAACAAACTGTTCAAGGGATCTATGAAAAGCACCAATTAATGATGTAATGTTATGTGGGTTATCTTGAAACACAGGTAACTCTTGTATCTATAGAAACTAGACTCACTGACTCGGAGCAATCTAGTTTAATCCTCCATCTTGGAACACATGGCATTTAGTACAGGGAGATAACTCTACATAGCATACAGATCTCAACTATAGTGAAGCACGCATACAATCTGGCAGATTTGCCACAAATCGCAACAAATGATGATTACAAAGGACTAGTGATTGATCATGAATTTTTGTATTGAATTGTTTAATTTTTAAGCATTCAATCTTAATCCTTTATATAGATACCAATTAATGGAATGACAAAAGTTTAATTTTTTTCTGTTTAATTTACATGATTCAATGTTCAGTGGAAAATGTTAAGGTGTACAAGAAAAAAAAGTTTTTGATTTCAAATATGATTTACAGGTTCTTTATGTTTTTGTTGATATATTGTGAAAAAGAGTTTTTAGAAATGAACTTCACATCAACCCTGATAACATGTTATTTTTTAGAGTATTCTCTTCCTGTCTTTCATGGCATGTTGATTAAGACAATCCTTAATTCAAGAAATTACGTTGTGTGAAGTAAGGTAGCAGAGATAATTGAATAATCTTTGATAATGTTTGTGATGCTTTGTTTAAGAGTACTATGTCTGCTACTTTTTTTCAGGTGATGATGGAGGTGGTGGCTGTCAGTAGCGCCATCTATGGCCTAGCCTTGTCAATGGTTGTATGTATCATCGCCATAGCGATATTTACAGGACACCTTGGTCTACTGTTTATTGTGGTCATCACAATCACAGGTGAGTCACATAGAGAGTGGGAGAAGGCGGGAACTTTGCAAAAACCATATCATAAACCAAAAAAAATAAATCATATACAGTGCAACCTTATTAGCGCAGACCCTGTATTTTAAAACCATAATCCAATCTATTAACTATGGGAATGTTTATGTACAAATAAAGGGATATTACTCTGTACCCTGATTCGATAATGTAGACACTTGTTAATCTGGACGATATCAGTGGGTATGTTACCGTACAGATTAGCAGGGTTTCACTGTTTCCAAGGAAACCATTTCCACGACATATTGCTGAGATATTGCTGTAAGCTAAATCCAACTCGCTTACTATTTCCAGGCTGTTTCAAATTCCGATATGAAATATTCCTAATGCCAACATGAGAATTTGAAACTCAACCAGGTATGAGATGTTATTTCAACATTAAAGTGTGTTTTCGAGTATGTTTGGGACTAAATTACAACGCAACATACAATCTGTATGATCATAGTTTCATTATGACTCATGTGAAGATCTATCGATTATCAATCCGTTACATTTTCTAATAATTTAATGAAAATTTTGTTTGGTTAGGGGTTATACATGCAAATGAGGTTTGAAGATTGTTTTGGTTTTCCTCAATCTCAATTCAAATCAGATCCTAGTTCTCGCAACCGCTAAACAAAGATCTGAAGACATCCCATTAGGGGTCACGTCAGAACGACCTTTCATCCGACCAATCAGTGAGTCGCTTACCAGATTATGAAAGTGACTGTCGGAATGTGATTTCTAATCATGCAATCTCGAAAACTTTAACATGGGGTATTCTGAACAATAGTTACGTGTTTAACGACTGAATCCATACATTCTAGACTATCTATTAGTCATTCCAGAATGTTTTTTTGTTCAGGTTTCCAATTTGTAATCGAGAATTTGTCAAAATATGTTTCGAAGCGTAGTCGCCAATTTGAAATTAGTGCCGTAAAGCACAAGAAAGCTGGTTTCTGATTGGTCACTCCATTGGTCCGTCAAAGTTCGCGCAAGGTCGGTCTGACGTGACCCATAATGGGATGTCCTCAGATCTTTGTTTAGCGGTAGCGAGAACTAAGGTCTGATTTTAATGACACTGGATTTTCCTCAACTATAATTTAAATATGTTGTGATATGGTGTAAAACTTGTTCACATGAACATCGATAATATGGAAACTTCATGATATATCCTTTACCACTCTGAAATGTTCTTTCTAAAGAAAGGGCAGTGGGGTGGTTAAAGTGTTTACTCCTCACGCCGAAGACCCGGGTTCGATTCCCGACATGGGTACAATGTGTGAAGCCCATTTCTGGTGTCCCCCGCCGTGATAATTGGAATATTGCTAAAAGTGGCGTTCTGTTGAACTTAAGGTTATTGTCTATTTTTACTGTTTTCTATTATGTCTGATATTTTAATTATCTCTAATGAATATCTGCTAGTGCTGAATGTGACCACATTGAACAACTGTCTGACATACTATGTCCTTGTTGCAGCCATGATTTGCCTCGTTGTGGCCATCTTCTACCTGGCTGGATGGGAGATGGGTGCGGTGGAAGCCATCTCGCTGTCGATACTGGTGGGCTCGTCCGTCGACTACTGCATCCATCTAGTGGAAGGTTACATCATCGCCATCAAATATATTCCACAAGCAGCTCAAATGGTAAGCTAGATGTCTTCACACAGGAAAAATGAGGCCTCATAGCCAGTCATATGCCAGGCGCTCGTCACGCCGAAGACCCGGGTTCGATTCCCGACATGGGTACATTTTGTGAAGCCCATTTCTGGTGTCCCCCCGCCGTGATATTGCTGGAATATTGCTAAAACGGCATAAAACCATATTCACTCACTCACTCATATGCCAGGCTCCTCACAGCAAAAGCCCTGTGGCAGAGCTCTCATTACTGTTACTGCTGCTAGTTTTATGTTTGTTTGTTGTTTAACGCCGCACTCAGCAATATTCCAGCTATATGATGGAGGTCTGTAAATAATCGAGTCTGGACCAGTCAATCACTGGACCAGTCAATCCAGTGATTGACATCATGAGCATCGATCCAGGCAGTTGGGATATGATGACATGCATCAACCAAGTCAGCGAGCCTGACCACACCATCCCATAAGTTACCTCTTACGACAAGCATAGTCGCCTTTAACAGTAAGCATGGGTTGCTGAAGACCTATTCTCCCCAAGATCCTCACGGGTCTGCTACTAGTCACAGCTCCCCACTGTGCTAGGCGGCCACTGCCATGCATGAAGTTGTTCTCTCAACCGACTGTTTACAAAGAAGTAGTGAATTTCTATCTCGTTTCAACTATCGTGTAATTGTTAAAATGTAAGGGGAAGTTTTGCTTTTCTGTTTGTCTGCAATCTTGAACCAATCTGAATAAACAAACAAGACATAAATTCAACTGGGAAATTGTAATTCATTCGTAAACCTTTTCAAAATTCACTCTTACGCCATTCCCAAATACCCTCACGCAGAAACCAATGTCACAACATTTGGGGTTAGAGGGCAAATTTTAAGATTCTAGTCATGGCTGCCAGCACACGAAGGTTGCCACAAGCGGGACAGGAGCTGGCTGTGTAGGTCAAAGGGAGGTAACTTCGTTTGATGAACCGAGTTATCTTCTCTTGAGGCCAGAGTCATGTTAACATTTTGAATGTTTGCTCCTAGTTAAGTAAACGTGTTATCTTTAACATATAGTCATTCATTTTGATAGATTATGGCTGATGAATTGTTTTGATTTTATGAATACCTTTTTAGACATATGGACTTAATTTGTGTGTTTCAAACAATTTTAATAAGGTTAAGGAGAATTTCACCTACATTCACATTTTATAATCACCTTATGGGCATAGTGTTGTAGAGTCGATGTGTTAATCATTGAGATTTGTGTCTGCTAACCTGCTGTTACCGGTAATTAGCATGGTTAGTGTGTTCAAGTTAACCTGTTTACCAAAGTGGTGGGCCGTGAAGAAACGGGGTAGAATAGATCTTCAGCAACCCATGCTTGCCGTAAAAGGTGACTATGCTTGTTGTAAGAAGGCGACTACCGGGATCGGGTGGTCAGGCTCGCTGACTTGGTTGATGCATGTCATCAATCCCAATTGCATGAATCGATGCTCATGATATTAATCACTGGATTGTCTGGTCCAGACTCGATTATTTACAGACCGCCGTCATATAGTTGGAATATTGCTGAGTGCGCCGTTAAACAAACAACAACAAAAAAAGTAATAATTAAAAACAAAAAACCTTTAGGGTTTTCGTTCTCACTAAGCTGACACACTGTGATAAAACTGAAAAACAGATAAAAGTTATTTAACCTCGTTGAGACTTTTAACAGTACAACATGTGATGAAATCCATTTTGTTTTTTACAGAAAAATGCTGAGAAACGAGCTTGGAGGACAAGCTTCGCACTTCGACACATCGGCGTCGCCATCATCAGCTCTGCAATCACCACCATCATCGCAGCTATACCTCTCACACAAACCACGATCCAGCCATTTTCAAAGTTTGGAGACATCGTCCTCATCAACACCACTGTATCCATAATCTTCACTCTGCTGCTGTGTGGAGCTCTGCTGACAACCATCGGACCAGCCAAGTTTAAGAGCTCCATCAAATCGTCCGGGATTGCCCTTGGAATAATGTCAGTTGTTATTGCCATTTTGACGCTGATTCTCTTCATCATTTCAAGGACGGTTGTCGATATACCTGGACCCGGAGGCAATCCTTTGTTTCCACGGTAACAAAGCATTCCCTCGATGGTTGCTTAGCAACAGGTTGTGTGACTTATTTGAATGCCTTTTTGTCTTTCATGGAAGGCATTTATGTAACAGTGCTTTTCCCCCTTGTATCTTTTGTGATTGAACCAATTCCATAATTGTTCCGTTGATGTCTGTGTGATATGGTTGACAAATATTTATTTATCCTCAATATTAATTTTACGCCAGACCAATTTTTTTTATTGTTGTACAGATTTCTATCCAGGAAATACATGCATGAAGGCGAAAATACAATAAACAGCTCCAAAGAGTATAAACCCGATGATTTATTTTTTTACTGTATTGTGCCTATTACTGTGTTTTATTGTGCATAATATGTAGATCTCGTTCATTGGGTGTTTTTTGTAATAATTCTTTCGCTTCAAGTGCTAATATTTCCTGGAGTCTTTACAGGACACAGTTGTTTCCTAACAAAGTTTTTTGTTTTTGAGAAAATGGCTAAATAATGACATGATCTGTAAGACAAGTACTTAAGTTGGTCTGGCCTTTTACATGAATGTACAGCTGTTTACTGATGAAAAAACATCAAGGTTTAGTGATTATTATGGATTAAAACATTAAGGGATGTTTATTGATGAAAAAACATCAAGGTTTAGTGATTATTATGGATGAAAACATTCAGTGATGTTTATTGATGAAAAAACATCAATGTTTAGTGATTATTATTTGATGAAAACATTAAGGGATGTTTATTGAAGAAAACACGTTTTGTGATTATTATGGATTAAAACATTAGGGGATGTTAATGGATGAAAAAACATCAAGGTTTAGTGAATATTATGGATTAAAACATCAAGCGATGTTTATTGATGAAAAAACATCAATGTTTAGTGAATATTTATGAATGAAAACATTAAGCGATGTTTATTGATGAAAACTTGTGTGTAATGGTGAAAACATCAGCAGTAAGTTGTGTTTATTGATGAAAACTTCAACATTAAGTTGTGTTTATTGATGAAAACTTCAACATTAAGTTGTGTTCACTGAAGAAGAACATCACGATGGATTGATATTTATTGATGAAAACATCACCATTAAGTTGTGTTTATTGAGGAAAAACATCACAATAGATTGTATTTATGAAGAAATAGCAACATCAAGTTTGTGTTTATTGATGAAAAGCAGCAATATGGATTTGTATTTATTTAAAAGAAAAAATGTCTAGTTTGCCCCTGAAAGAAAGTAGTGTTTCCACCTGACTGAAGTACCTTGTCTATGTTGTACAATAATTATTGAATTAATAATTCGGTTGTATCCTATTGTTCCTCGTCAGTATCTCACAAGTTAACACAGACATCCACCTGTACATACATCTGCTTTGCAGTGTAGTCCAATTTTTAACCAGTGAATCAAACCACGGCCTTTGCCAGGGAAAGAAGCGAGTTCTCTGACCAATTAGATTCCAGATCACACGTCACAAGCAGTAATGTTTCACGTGTGTAATAGACATGTGAAGATCTGGGTTAGAATAGGTCTTCAGCAACACTTGTTTGCTGTAAAAGGCGACTATGCTTGTTGTAAGAGGAGTCTGATGGGATCGGGTGGTCAGGCTCGCTGACTTGGTTGATGCATGTCATCGATCCCAATTGCGTAGATTGATGCTCATGATGTCAATCATTGGATTGTCTGGTCCAGACTCGATTATTTACAGACCGCCGTCATATAGCTGGAATATTGCTGAGTGTGGTGATAAATATAAATCTCAAACCAAACAGAATCAGTAAAATGTGACATCGATGTCCCCTTCCAAGGGAACCAGCCTACATGTGCCATATTTCTCATGCAGCTTGTGCCATAGCCTTGCAATTATCAGCTCACCTATCATTCATTTAAACAGTTCTGCTTGTGTAACACAGGGATGCGACACAATACATGTTTCATAAACACTTTGTTCAGGTTGTATATAATTTCTAGGGAATAATCAGTATCGGGGAGGTGAAATAGGGTTACTGCACTTAAATGGTGACGTGCATGCACGTGTGTGTGTGGCTGCTTGTACGAGTTCGACGAATGCCGTTTTTTAGTGCTACCCCACTGTATTATCATACCGCAGTTTAGCATGGGTACCCTACTCACACACAGTATATTGACTCCAAGCTGACCAGTCCTTGTTTTAGCCTCTTAATGCCCAGCGCCATACATGGTAGAATTATCAGTATATATAGCCTTCTTATACAAAATATTGACATTGGGTGATGACCAGTCCTTGTTTTTATCCCCTTTATGCCAAGTCCATGGAATTAACAGTTTTTACAGCTTTCGTATACAAAATGTGGGAATTCCAAATTATGTTTCTGTTTTTATTTTCAACAAATCATGATACAAGGTTGTATCAATGAACACACAATGCCATTTAGAAAGTGGTGAAATGCAACAAATGTTATATTTGGGATAACACTTTCTTAGTTAAGTACAGATTCTCGTACCTTTTTTTATTTTATTTTTCCTTTTTTTTACACCAATAAAAACAAAACGTATGAGAATCTGTACTTTACTAAGAAAGTGTTATCCCAAGCATAACATTTGTTGCAAGATTGTATCAGTTTTATTTTCAAAATCTCTTTCAAAGATTCCAGAACCTGTTTTCAGTCTTTTGTCTCTTAAATGTTTGTTGCAGAAACATTGATGGTAACAGATCTGAATATTTTAATACCAGAAAAACGTATAGATTTTAATATCGATAAGATTGTGTGTATGTTTGATGTCAATAACTTGTCCTTTTAAATAAAATACCGTATTCACCGTATTAAGTGACCTGCTCCAGTAAGCGCCCCTTGACCAACTTCTAATCAAATATGTAAGTAATCTTCTTAAACACCCCCATGGAAGACGAAAAATTTACATGACAGGCCATATTGTCTTGTGTATTTTACACATTTTTTGTAGAAAAAATCTTGTCAGGAAAAGGTTATATAACTGCCTACAACTATTATTGATTTTTCCTCCTTTACTTCAAAGTTTGAATTAAGTTTATTTCTTAACACTTTGTCTTCACAAACAAATTTAACTTGTGTATTGTCAATTTTCGAAGCTCCAAGGTCATTTATTACGGCAAATACGGTAATTAAATGGTGCAATTCTTAAATGTTACATGTTTTAATGATTGGAGATATTTAACATGGATATATTTGTGTTGAGTATGCTTGTGAGGATGTTATGTCGTGTTTGACCTGATCAGTTTGTATGCGGCTTATGATGAACACTTGAACACTGTCAATCGTTATGCTGCCTTGATATAGCTGGAATATTGCTGACTGGCAAGAACAATGTTCACCAAAATTATCATTTCATCACACAATTGTGTATAGTAAATTATTGATGATAATGATAACATGATAATTTAAATGTTTTAATAGGCACTGATGTCACAATACCATTAAATTACACGACCACTAGTTAATACAACAGTACTCAGTTGTGGGTTTTCTAATATTAAGTTCCCGGATCTGCCAATAAAAAATTGGAAATTAAGGAATTTATTATGCCACTGAGACTGTTGAAAAGACAAAGCTAAAAAAATAATAGTCTTGGTTCCCAGGGTTCCGCCCACATCATCATAAAGTTCGACGCATGTTTGTTTTTTATTTCCATTTTAAAAAACCCACTGTATTCTAGTATTTTACTCATCAAGGAATACATTTATGTAGGGAGGCCCTATCCCAGGTTGATTGTACACAAGTGTTTTTTTGGTTACATACTAGTTTGAACAAATAACAAAAAAAAGTCATAATGTTTCAAAACCCATTACCTGAGTAACCAATTCTTGTATTTTTTTAAGCCTAAGAAAGAAATTTGTTAAAGGAAGGGAAGTAACTCTATCCGTTTGTGAAAACCAAGTGAACATTCCATGCCCCTGTGGGGGGGTAATATTCAACAGCCATGAAGAAGTCTATGTTTTCTGGTATAGTTGTTTTGTGTGTTGATTGAGTTTTCTCATGTCTTATGTGTCTAATTTTACACAATGTAAATACTTCCTATTTGTAAATAGCATATTTAAATGAATCTATTTTATCTCATTTTATTTTATACATTCCTATTCCCTGTCTGTGTTACATTTTAGTTATTTGCTTTCTCATCAGATTGCCAGATTTATTTGCTCAGGAACTGAATTTTATCTTTACTGCATCTGACTATATGAATCTGACAGCCTTTGTGTTGGAGGTGCTGTTACGTCTCTATATTGTTTGAAATAACACCAGTACCACAATCACAGCCTCTCTCTGTTGTCTTTACAAGTCTTCATCGGGATGAATGAGTGTGCTTTTGTAGCGGCCATAAAATTTCCGAGTCCCGTGAGGGGATTCGAACCACGGACCTTCTGATCAGAGGTCGGACGCCTTGTCCACATGACCAAAGAGGTTAACCCCGTCAGCAAGCTGACAAGGTAAGGATGTCATCCATAGGATGACTCCACGCCCTGCTACACTTTCATGCCGCTTTTAGCAATATTCTTGCAACATTACGAAATGGGCTTCTTGTAGGGCTGGGATGAGTCCAAATTTACTACCCGGGTACCCGCCACCCTATTACCCGGGCCCTACTCAGATACCCAATATAGGTCTCAAGAGTTGGGTACAAAATGTCCGAATGGGAATTGTTTTACTGCAGCTCTGGCAAAAACTATTTAGATACATGTATAAAACAATCATATTATGTATAATCCGTAGTTGATAGACGCTTTATCCTTACTTGAACATATAAAAGTCAGAACGAAGGCTTGCATAGTGAGAAAGAAATGTGAACATTAGCTATGCTTGTAGTGTAACCATTGGGTTCTATTGTTAATGTCATTAAACAGTATGTCACGTGACTAACCACGGGTCTGGGTAGTCATGTGGGTACCCGGGTCCTACTCAGGACCCAACCGACCGGAGTACCCGAGTTACCCGTCCCAGCCCTAGCTTCTTGCCCATGTTGGGATTCAAACCCAGGTGTTCGGCGTGACAAGCGAACGCTTTAACCACATCTGATTTGATATGATTCACTCTTTTCAATATTAACAAAAGCCCCACACAACAGGGGCAGATCCAGGTATTTGAACATAAAAAGGGGAAGGAGAGGGTCCCCACCCATAACAAACTGTATGTTTTGTTTGTTTGTTGTTTAATGCCGCACTCAGCAATATTCCAGCCATATGACGACGGTCTGTAAAATAATCGAGTCTGGACCAGACAATCCAGTGTTTGACATGAGCATCGATCCACCCAACATGCATCAACCAAGTCAGTGAGCCTGACCACCCGATCCCATTAGTCGCCTCTTACGACAAGCATAGTTGCACAAACTGTATGTAAAGCATTATTAATAATGTACCTTAACAACCAAATCAACATGTTATGATACGAAATGTGCATATTAAATGTCATCAGATATGAGTGAGTGAGTGAGTTGGGTTTAACGCCGCTTTTAACAGTATTCCAGTTATATCGCGGCGTGTCAGCTTAATGTGGGAGGAAAGCCCAAAGTGATGCAGGTCTCAGACGTTTACCACTTCGGTGAAACCCACGAGCACGGGTATGGTGCTGACAAACCTAGAAACCTTATCAGGGCAAATCGGTTATTCGAACCCACAATCATAAGTTTCTGGCGCACCCAAGGGACACAACTCTGCAATTCAAATCTTGGCGCCTTAGACGACTGGGCCACCCGTGCCCCCTCTTGGAGAATAAGGAAGTGACCGATCATAATGTCCATTATGAGAGAACAGCCCTAGTCCTACTATTGAGCCATGTAAACCCTTGTTGAACATTGGAAGTGTGAAATCAGTGCTTTACATGCTGCAAGTGACAGAAACCTAGTTGCACCATCGGGGCGAACCGGGATTCGAACCCACAATCATAGGTTTCTGGCATGCCCAGGGGACGCAACTCTGCACAGCGAATCGCGGTGCCTTAGACAACTGGGACACCCGTGCCCCCTCATCAGATATGAAAAAAGAAGTGAGGGGGGCTATCCCCTCTGGATCTGCCCCTGCAGAACACAAATATTCTTTGAGTGGTAGAGGAGAATCTTACCTGATGTTGATGAGAATGAGTGATGGAGGTAAACTGTTTTGATGGTACTGAAGGCACCATCATCAGCACCAAACTTTTGTTTCATTTTTTGACACGTCACAGAAATGGGATTCACATGTTGTTCCCATGTGGGAAATCCAACTCAGGCCATCTTCTCAAGCAAACACTTTAACCACAAGCTGCCCCACTGCCCCAACCACCGCTGGACCAGACAATCCAGTGACTGACATCATGAACATCAGTCCAGACAATTGGGATAGGATGACATGCATCAACCAAGTCAGCGACCCTGACCACCTGATCCCGTTAGTCGCCTCTTACAACAAGCATGGGTTGACTTTTATGGCAAGCATGGGTTGCTGAAGACCTATTCTACCCCGGATCTTCATGGGTCCATCATTTACTAGAGGCATTGATCATGCTCATGTTATAACCCATAGGGTCAGACATAACCAAATTCATATAAATCATGCTTGCATTAGTGTAAATATCACTTCTTGTACACCAGTTATTGTTTCCCTTATCAGAATGGCATTGTTGACTTCATTCGAATCTTAATG